CCAGGTGACGAGCCGGGGCCGGCAAGCGGCAACGTCAGAGGGCGGGGGAAGGAGGAGGCGGGGGAGGTGACGTCACAGGGAGGCCGGCCCGAGAGGGGGCCGGTGGATGACGAAGGGACTGACGTCATCTGCCTGCAACCAGCTGGTAATTCAAAAGGCTGCACCGACCCAGCAAGAAGGGAGGACGCCGAGGAGACGGACCTCCCCTGGGAGCGAGCACACGGACCCAGGTATTGGCAACCCTGGGCCGGACCAGGGCAGGAGCCTGGGGGCGGGACATGCTGACATGGGGGGAAGAAGTAGCCCAGGGCGGGGATGTGGACCCCGAGAGCGGGGGAGTTTAGGGGTCTCAACCGGTGGGGAACCTTTCCCTTACCTTAGGGTCCTGGGTCGGGGTCCGGAGCGAGGGCGGGCCTGGACCCCCTTCCCCCAACCGCCGAGCGGAACAAAGCGAAACCGAGCACATTGAGTCGCGAACGACTGTGGAAACTGAGGGGGGCGGACGTAAGCCCCTCCGCACCAGGGGGGAACCCCTACAGTAAGTTATATTATTTCCTTACAACAGACTTATTAAGAATTGTAGGATCCACACCGATTCATATTTTTCTTTACAACTGGTTCCACTGGGACACACCATGCTGTTGGCTCAGATTTTCTCCATTCTGCCAACCTATTCTATCCTCTTTAACTCAGTTTCCATTTTTTGAAGCAGTGGGATAGAAATCCTATGAGCTGTCTATTTACTATATAAATAGTAAAAACAACAAATGGTCTGGTAGCACTTTATAGACTAACAAAACGTATAGATGGTATCACAAGCTTTCGTGGGCACAGCCCACTTTTTCAGATGACTGGAGTTTCTTCAGATGACCGGAGATATATTTATTATGTGGTTCAGCAAAGTCTCGAAGTTATTTCTATAGGAGTTCTTTCAAAAGTCCGGTATCCTCACATACCCTGTCCAGTTCTTCCACCTTTCTCACTAGGACCATTATGGCTACCACACTCTGACTGACACTATTATTGGTCTTTAATACTTTGATCACACACAATGAGAAAAATTTTGCCTGCAGCATCTAAGTTGTTTCTATGGTGAACTGGCCGATGCAGTTCAGAATATCTAAAGGGATAGGTAAGGTTGTGCCAGGTGATTTCAGTTCTGGGAAAGGTTGGAGATTCCTTCTGCGAGAACTGTGACATCTGTTTATGAGTCTATTTTAAAGTCAATAGTTTTTCTGCGAATATTCAGTGTCGCTCTCCAGGAAGGCACTGCATCAGCTCATGTGATAACTCCCAGCAACAATGACTCTTGATTGTCTATAATATTACTCACTTCCCTGACTGGATTGGCAAATAGCTGCAAAATATTCCATATTCTGTGCATTTTTTGTACATTGTGCCTTTGGCTAAATATATATCTATTGGGCTATGAATTTTTACCATGTAGTGTACATTTATTCGAAAGGCTGTGTTGTTTGCCTGAAATATCCTCATAGCCTCGTCTTTTATAATAATAATGTTTGGTACTCATATGTTTGTTTATAGCTTCTGAACTACTTGCCAGTTTGTCACGTTGATCCTGCCATTTGTTTGGCTGTTAGACTAGTCTAGACTGCTTTGATATCGGTGTAGCTACAGGTAGATTGAAGCCTGTCATTAATTGTAGTTGGTGTGAGAGGTTCTTGTCAGTTAACCCAATAACCAGCCTGTCACTAATATTTTCATCTTTTACAGTCCCAAAAATCATAGTTTACAGCCAGTGCATGCAAAGCTGTAGTGATTCAGCATTTTTTCTTTGTTCCTGAATTGTCTGGTGAAAATATTATTTCATAAACTAAATTTGAGGTTTAAACTATGTATCAAACATAACCCAAACTCTTTCAAAGTTATCTTTGTGATGGTCTTCACTAAAGATAAAAGATTTAAAGACAGACTCTGTTTGCTTCTCCATAGCATAAATTAAAAATGATACCGGAATATCTCATTCTTGCGGAATGCTGTGGCAATGGAAAAGTCTTGTGTGACCTCCTTCTTGGTGCACATCACAAAATTCATTCTGCATGTGGACAATAGGTGGTGGGGAGGGGAGAGGAAGGGTTTGGAGCATGGGAGGAGATTCATTGGAGTGGGTATGAAGGATCTGGTTGGGGGTGCACTCTGAGGTGGAGTTGGAACAGAGGGTCAGTGTACAAGGATGAAGGTGCAGGATCTGGGATGGGGCTGAGGGGTGAGTGGTTTGGGGTACAGGTTCCCCCGGGATAGAGGGCTCCCCATAGTCCTCTCACTGCACAGCTCCAGGCCATGTGAGGGGTGCCTCTCTGCTGGTCATGGCAGCTCCAGTGAGGCTGGACTGGGGGAGAGGTGCTCATCTCCCAGCTACAGCAGGTCTGTGCTGCTGGGGGCGTTGGTGAGAGAACTTTGAGAAGGCACCTTCCCCTCTCCCCTCAGCTGCAGCACCTCGCTGCTGGGGCTGGATGAGCTGCCAGAGCCAGGGGAGAGGTACCGCTCTCCTGGCCACGGCAGCTCCATATGCAGTAGCCCTGAGCCCCTGCATGGGGCTTATTAGGCTGCTGCATGGCCACGTGGCTGTGCAGCTTAGAGGGAACATCGCTCTGAACCCAGGAGCGTAATGGTTAAAGGAAGGATCCTCCAGGCAAGGCCGAGAAAGAATTAAAAAGAACAGTACGTGTGCTTGTGCCGCAGTGAATTTCCTGTGCTTTTCTCCTTTGGTTTTCTTTCCGAGGTGTGCAGCCTGTTCCCTGGAGAAAAGTTTGTTTGCTCTGGAAAAAGAGCCTTAGCCTTCAAACAATTTCAAAAGCGATCAACGTTCCCCAAAGACAGCAACTGAAGTACCTTGGAGAGCAAAAATGGCCAAGGTGCGCCGCCTTCTCTCAGGGGTATAATTTAGTCGGAGCAGAAGGCAGCAAGACCTTATTAATCAGACCTTGCACTTAACTTCTTCCAAGCATTGCACAAAGGTTAACAAGTAGGCAATTATTAACTGTCTGTATTGCAGTGAGTGCCCAGAGGTCCCAGTCAGCTGTCTACAGCTACTGGGATATCAGTGCTACAGGGATCAATCCCTCCAGTAGTTGATTTAGTGGGTCTAATAAAGACCTTCTAAATCAACTGCTGATCACATGCTCATCAACTCTGGTATGCCACTGGCTCACAAAGCATAATGGGAATCAACGAGAGAGATCGTGGTAACTCCATCTCAGGTATGTTATTCCAATAGCTATGCTATTCCAATAGCTGGAGTTAAGTATCAGAGGGGTAGCCATGTTATTCTGAATCTGCAAAAGCAACGAGGAGTCCTGTGGCACCTTATAGACTAACTGAAGTGTAGGAGCATAAGCTTTCGTGGGCAAAGACCCACTTCGTCAGATGCATGACTTGACACCATACAAGGCACTGCATTTAGCCGTATGGAGTGGAAATCTATTAACCTCATGAAGAAAATAGCTGGAGTTGTGTACCTTCATTTGGCATTACTTCCCTCCCCTAAGAGCAGACCTCTTCTGACTAAGAGCTACTGTCTAAGCCTAGGAGACAAGCAATACACAAAAAATGGGAATGGAGAAATTATCTTTACTGCCATTTTACACACAGAGAATCTCAGCGTACAGTGACTAAGAATATCTATAAATTAGTTTTAAAATACAGATTCATCTCCTTAGTAATTTTGCTTTCACCAAGTATCATAGGAAGTGAACACGCTAGCTGGGATGCAGAGTACTGAGAGATTTTTTTTTGCTTCCTTGCTCGCAGATTCCCAACTGACCGGCACAAGCCTGCATGGAGGAATGTGACTACAGAGGGTGGCAGCTGCAATTGCTTAGCAGGTAGCCAGCCAAGACTGCTAACTACTGCAGGGCTGGACCTCAAGGAGAGGGAAATATTGGTCCCCTCCTAACCTGCTTTTGACATGGGTACCAGACATCCTCTCTTCCCTGTGAGGAGGAAAAGATACTGCCAAAACTACTGTGAGCCTTCGTGCTTATATGAAGCATAACTGCAAAAGTCATGAAGAATCAACTTGTAAAAGGAAACTCTTGTAATGAAGTTTAGCGAGAATGGTTTAATAAACAATACATTCTTTCTTTCCTCTATTTTGTTACTTTGCTTTCTGTCTCCATCTCCTCCCACTTCCTCCATTCACTACTGACTGAACTATTTATCTGGAAAACTGATGTTCATTTTTGGCACAGATTTTTCACCCATTTTTAAATTTTTTGAAAGAAACACAGGAAAGTCCCAGGAAATTAAAAGATAAATAAATTTTAAAAAACCCAACAGTGACTTTGGTATTACTGATCTAACCAATCCTTTTAAACTGAGATGCTCTGTTATTGGCCATTTGGAAGTTATTTATAACTCAGGCATTAGCATGTTTGCTTCAGTGTGATTTCTCAGGTTGGGTGAATTGCTAACTACAGTATCTGTCACTGACTCATTGTCAACATAATTTAAAAGCCAATAAAACTGCCACTTGGAATGAAAACCACCCCACGCACTGTCACCAATGTAATTTCTTTGATATGTGCCCCTACCCAGAGCAGACTAGACAAACCTATCTGTCTTTCTTACCATTTGAGTAACTCTCCTCCCCACCAAGCCCCATCAACAGGATATGTCTCATTCTCTCCTACACAAACCCCACAATAAAGTGTAGATATATTTCCATGGCAATTATTTGAATTTAGAGCTGGTGAAAGCATTGGGTTGAAATCCTTGATGCATGCACCAGGTAGTAACAGCTCTAGCTGCAGCTGTGAAAGCCTTCACTTTTCCAGTGTACTTCATGGCCTCCATACATTTTTTTAAGCCATCTTGGTTAAAAAAATTATCTGGTGTAGAAGGGAAGTGAAGGCAGCTATAAAAATATAAATAAAAATGCAAGAAAGAGGAAGCTGACTAATCAATATAAATCAAAAGCTAGGAATTGTAGAAAATTGATAAGGAAAGCAAAGGAACACAAGGAGAAATCTATGGCCAGCAGAGTTACAGACAAGAAGGAGGGGAGGTTGTGTATTTTTTAGAATACCAAGATCAAAAAGAGCCCTAACAGTGCTATTGGTCTATTGCTAGATAAAAATGAAGATAATGTTTCATCAATATTTCTATTCCATATTTGGAAAAGAAACGTATGTTTTAATAATATACGGCAACACTTTTTTCATTCCACTAGTGTCTCTGATGGATGTTAAACAACAGCTACAAAAGAGTATGAGAGAGGTAGCTGTGTTAGTCTGTAACTTTAAAAACAAGTGGTTCCGTGGCACCCTAGGGACTCACTCCCTTGAAACAACTTGCCAGGCATCGTGGTGGATTCTCTATCACTGACAATTTTAAAATCAAGATTAGATGTTTTTTCTAAAGATCTGCTCTAGGAATTGTAGTAAAAGGAAGGCCTAAAACAGAAGCCAATTCAGCACAGGCCTGGTTTGAGGCCTGAGGCCTAGATAACAATGGAGAAAACATGGCTAACAAAGCAAAGCTAAGCTGTGAGCAAGAGACAGGCCCCAGCTGATAGAACTTGGCACAAACAGGGCTGAGTGTGCAAAATACTAATTGGTAATAGGCCCAGATGCAGAACAATAATTGGTACCGGTCATAAGTGGAAAGCACAAGATACCACTAGCTCATTAAAAAAAGACCTTGGTATCCACACCTCACAGATACAGACCCAGGTTCAGGAAAGGGTCTAAAATGATAGCATGATGGATAGAGATGATCTAATCAAACTATGAGGTACAGGGCGATGGGTGGTATCTAAGTAGCGTCCGAGGGTGGTAACTTGACAGCATGAAATGGTGGCAATCTAATATATCAGCAGTGATGTGTGACTTGTTGCACCTGTATATAATGTGGTGTCTTGGGGGGACAGCCTTTGGTTAACCTAGGGGGCAGTGGCAATTTCCCATTGACTGAGTCATTCCATTGTGGCAAATAAATATACATAGTGGTTCAGTAGTCTACTGACAACTATGACTGTACTTCACCTTACAACAGGCCTGGCACCTTTGATCCTTATCTGGTTTGTGTTCTTTGGGGGCTCTCTTGGTGCACAAGTCTACACAGCGTTGAGCATACACGCAAGCAGCCTTCTGGTTCTCATCATCCACAGAGCCAGAGACTGTGAGGATACTTCGGCAGTAAATCCCAACCTCCCTCTTGAATAACTTGGGAGTGAGTTTTCTGTGTTATCCAAGAGATCAACTAGATAATTGCAATGATCTCTTCTGGCCTTGGAAAAAACTAGAGACAGAGACCTTTGGGGGCTGGTCTTGGCTAATGAGATGTGGGAGTGCAACCGAAGAAGTGTTGTTTCTGGTTGCTCTCACATTCCGTTAAGCAGGGTTTTGTATATTCCTTATAAATAAAACCATGTCCCATTAAAAGGTGAGAGAGAGAGACACACATTCCATTTCTGCTTCCAACTGGGCCCCAACAACTGACTTGCTGCTCATGTCAGTAAAGGCCAACATTGCTGTCAGAAGCCAGACGCAGTTTTCAAGGGGAGCCACTGTGAGTTGGGATTCTGTTGAACCAAGAGAGAACAAATAATGGAGCTGCTTGCAGAAATGAAACATGGCCCGTGGCTTTTATGACAAGACCTACATCAGGCACTGGGGGCTTGATGGAAGGAATTGATCAGGCAGCTGGAGGTTTGCATGAAAGAGCTCAGAGATAATTGGCCAATGGCAGCAATCTCTGTTGGAGCAGCAACTATAAAGGGTCTGGACAGATTGCAAAGCCCAGTTGCAATAGACCCAGGCAGGAATGGTAACATGGATTGATGATGTGACCCACAATCTGGTCACCATAAACCAGACTTTCTTTCATGAACTAGTGGAGGCCAAGCAAAAGCTTTAGTCAATCCAATAGATCCTAAGGCCTATACCACTTTTGAAAAGGAGAGTCTAGTGTTGTGACACTGAGCAAAACACCTAATCTATGATTCTAAAGACCTTTACAAATCTACAGGTTTACAAAGACCTAGCCACTTGACTTTAATCCTAAAAAGTGAATTTAGAGCAGTGATTCCCAGACTTTTCAGCATCATGCCCCCTTCTGGATTTTTGAGAAACCCTCATTACACGCCTCCCCTGTCAAAATAGCAGCAAAACTTGTTGAACAAAAAAAAAAAAAAAAAAAAAAAAAAAACTGACCAGGGCTGAAAAACAAAAATATCAGCAAAACTTAGCGGGGTGGGGCTCGGTCGCCTCGCCCCCTCCCCTCCCCCCCAGAATTTCTTTGCACCCCGCCCCCCGTATGTCCCCCATTTGGGAACCCATGATTTAGAAGATGAGGCCAGCCTTATTTACATATGGAAAATATGAGAACTTATAGGACCAAGTCCTCTGTTGGTAATAATGTAGGTACCTCCACTGAACTTGGTTTTACACTAGCTAAAGATCTGGCTAATACTATATAGTCCTTCTTACCCATAGATTTGAAAAAGAAAAATGACAGACCAGGGTTGAAATGGCAATGAGTGGGTGCCCCAATTAACTATCATAGTTAACAAGGGATTTTTTTTTCTATCCTTATCTGATTGCTGGTGCTTTTGAGCTATGCCAAGGCCTAGATTAATAAAGTTATGTTCTGAACTGGGTGAAACCTTTCTATGGGTAGAATTAAAACTGATGTGAATGCACCCATCTGTTAAGACAGTTGTAAGAGACAGATAAGAGGCTACATCTAAACCAAGGCCTATTAAAATCTGCCCAGATATCAGCACCAGGTGGGTGAGATCTGCTTGTAATCTATACCTCCCTTCACAGACTGGAAAGAGTTTGTGGACATGAATCTGAAAACCCTTGCTCGTGTCTATAATCTTCCCTTTCCCCTAACACTGACCATGGAACTTCAAAAGACTAAGGAAAACAATGAGTGGGGAATGGAGGAGAGGACTAGTAAGGTCTTTTTCTCCATCTCTAGAGTCTGAGAACAACTGAGTGGCTTATGGGTGCCTCAGACTGAGACTAGCAAGTTGGTTTGTACGCAGGTACAAAACCCAGGTGTATTTGTCCTTAGCTTTCTGGGCATGAAAGGAAAGTTCCCAATTCACTTGGGTCACGCAACAATATAATCTGTCTGGCCTCACCCCTAGACTGAGTGAGCTCCAGTCATTTATGACAGAACAATCTCAGCCAATTGCTGGGATGCTTTTCCTAGTGGCAAATTGAGATAATTCACAGTACATTGACCATGTCCTCCACCACTGCTGCAGATCCCAAATGAATCAAAACACGCCGCTTTGCTGTCTCACATGGGACTGCTGGGATATGTAAAAATTAATAGAGGTCTGGGATTGTGGTAAGGGGTCAGATGCAGCAGGCATTGGCCTTTAAACATGTTTTTCCCTTTTGTTCGGGAAGCGTTGGACACTGTCTTCTTTTGTCTTCGCACTTGTTCTATCCAAATATTTTCAGGGTCAAAGTTCTTTCCCCTTCCCTGTAGGCTGCTGATTAAGAGTACATAATGCTGATTCAACTAAAAACCAGTAAACAACAAATGGGGGCAGGTATCATTGTATTCATCACCTGCTTATTAATATTCATTGTATGGTAGTTAACATCACTAAATAAGGTATTGGGGAAAGTAGTGATAGACGTGTGAATTAACATACTAAAATAGATAAAAGGGTGTAATGGGTGCCAAATTGATGCCACTCGGAACGATGTGTTGGGGGCCCGAGGTTAACGTGCATGGGCAATAAAGCAATTCTGTTTACCCCATCTGCTCCTGGGTTGCCTGTTTCTTCTCTAACAGGGACCGGTCTCATCCTTCCTTCACTATAAAAAGAAACCCTGCCCTGTACCTTCCTCTAAGAAATGTAGCAGAAATGACTGACTGTCTCCTGTCTGGGTTTATACATTATTTATATAATTTCTGGCTTCCCTGAGTGGCTGCCGTCTCAGGCTAAAGTAGGCATTATTTTCTCAGGGTCAGAGCTCCCACTGCACAGTTCTGCAGGTTTTACTGGACCTCAGTGGATTAAAATCAGTTGAGGATCTGTCCTTATCTTTTAAACCAGGTTGGGACAGCTGATGAAAATAGATACTTGTCCAAAGTTTAATGTATTGTCGTAATGATCTCTGCA